ATTTATTTATTTATTTCAGTCTTTAGGATACAAACGGAACAAAAGTCCAAAACTAGTATCCTGATATTACAGTTTACAATAATTTTCCATTAACAATATTATAAGTTATAAAACAAGTAACATCTACAATATATTTAGATTTCTTAATTAATTAATACAAAGCATAGAGGTAGTGCGTTTTACAGGTCCCTGTAGTCTATATATACACAGTATCACAGGACAGGAGATCGGTCTACTCTAACAATTTCAACTTAAGCCTATTCTTAAAGGTTAGTAGATTTTGATTGAAAAAATCTAGTTCAGAATCAGAACAATACAAGTTAGCAGCCCTAACCATCCTCACCAATGGTGCATTCTGGAAATAATTGGTCCTACAATATGGAACCCAAAAGAGGTCATGACCCCTCAGCGCACGGACAGGGACATTAATCTTAACTCTCGATAGGATATTTGGAGAGCTAGACAGATTATTAATGATCTTAAACAAAGTTAAAATGTCAGACGGAGTACGTCTCTTTTCCAATTCAAGAATTTTGAAGCGCCGCCGTATCTCTGAGTAATCATGATGTGCTACGTGGAAGTGCGATTTATAGCCAAGGAATCTCAAAAAATTTCTTTGTATTTTTTCCAGTCTCTCAACGTTATTTCTATATACAGGGCTCCATATGACAGATGCGAATTGTAGTTTACTAAATACATATGAGTAATACAGAGTCAAAATCGTTTTGGAGTTATTGAAATCAACACATTGTCTTTTAATGTATCCAAGGGTCCTATTACAATCATTAACCAGTTTGTCAATATGGAATTGAAAAGTCATTTTAGAGTCAAACAGAATCCCTAGATCTTTTATATGGGTAACTCTGTTTAAAACAGAACTTCCAAGTTTATAATTATAGTCAATGATTGTAGATGCCCGAGAGAACGACAACACAGAACATTTGTCAGGATTCAAAAATAACTGATTTTCATTGCAAAACTCGATCAGCCTCTCAAGACTAGCTTGTAGAATTTCACAATCTGACATGGAATTAACTCTGAGAAAGATCTTCAGATCATCAGCGTAGCAAAGGAACAGGCAGTTATCAAAACATAGCGTTATACAATTAATATACATTACAAAGAGAAGGGGGCCGAGGTGAGAACCCTGTGGAACCCCCGATGACGGGGAGAATGTACCCGAGCAAAAGCCCAAAAGCGCCACAAACATAGATCTATTGAGCAAATAAGACTCAAACCATCTCAGCAGATCTCCACAGACTCCCATCCCCCCCAGCACCTGAATCATAATTTCATGGCTGATCTTATCAAATGCTTTGCTGAAATCTGTAAATATGACATCAACTTGTCAAATGCTTCATATATGTATGTTGAGTATTCCATGAGATTTAGTTCTAGATTCCTTCTTTTAAGAAAACCATACTGCTCTGGTATAATATCAGCGATCACAAAATTGAAAATATATGGGTAGACTAGCTTTTCAAAAAGTTTGGAGAAGGTACATAATTTGCTGATGGGCCTATAATTCTTGACGTCACACTTCTTGCCGTTCTTATAGATGGGCGTGATGGCAGAAACTTTCCATGTGTCTGGAAATACTCCAGAAGAGAGAGACTGGTTAAAAAGAAGTGTTAGTGGTATGCAAAGCGAAGCCGTGCATTTTTTTGCGAATATGGCTGGGATGTTATCAGGGCCCGCCCCTTTTTTTTCATCTAGCCCCTCGAGAACTTTTTGGACCTCATCTGCGGTTAACAACACACTAGACAATGACTTATTACTGGTTTGACAATACCTTTGAGACCTATTTATTGCTAGCGACCTTGGTACATACACACTCTGAAAAAAATCGCAAAACAACTCACAGATCTCGGCTCCATCCCTCGCTACCCGATTCCCAAACCTCATCTCCCCTGGAGTCCCCGTATTTGACCTCTTTTTTGACACAAATTGCCAAAATTTTTTATTGTTGTTAGGTATTTCATTCTTGATAGTCACTATTAATGCATCTTCTACTCTGTGAGCGCAATAATCTAAAAGCATTGTAAAGACGTTCGTCTTTGCTAATTTTCCATTTTTTGTGTATTTTATTTTTTCTTAGAATAAGTTTAATAGTATTTTGAGAGAAATAAGGTGGAAATTTATTATTTATTCTTTTTAGGGGGACATTGTTTTGTATGGTTTTGTTCAAAGTTTCATAAAATACTTTGACATTCTCATTAATATTTTTAGAGTTGAGCAAGTGTCGCCAGCTGAGAGAATCCAGCTCAGCATTTATGTTGATATAATTGGCCTAGTTAAAGTTTCTCACATATTTCATGTTAACCTTTTCTTTTAAGTTGCAATCAGGACAGTTAAAAAGGAACTCTAAAGAGGGGTGATCCACATTCACAGACAACAGAGGATGGTCCGACCGAACTAAATTGCTTATATAAAAATTGTTAGAAAACACTAGGTCTAAAAGTCTATTATTTGTATTCTGGACATTATTGAACTGCATAAAACTATAATGAGAAAGAGTCTCCAGCAAGTCGCAATATTTTGGGGGTACATTAAATGGTTCCAAGTGACCATTGTTTTCAAACCAATTGACTGTAGTATAATTGAAGTCACCACAAATTATTTTTGTGACAGACCGGGGGCCACATTTAGCTTCGCCGCCCCGGGCCCCCGACTGACTTAGTCCGCTACTGATTAAGAGACCGACTCATCAATTTAATATATAAAACTTAATTATTCTTTCTCTCAATACTAGCATTTTTTAAGTTTGCGTAAATAAATAAAAATAAAATAAAATGATGTACTCAGTAGAAACTAAATATTTTATGGATATATGTGTGAAGGCAATGTGCATAATTTAAAATTATTTTGAAATGTACAGGGTATCTCACAACTAAGATCCACACCAAAGTTATATTTTTTCTTATGGAACACCCGGTATTTTATTTCATATTTGGATCCGTCGACACAAAATAAGACATTTATTATAAGAGTCAAATATCTATGACTACAAGCTTTGGTTTTTGAGATATTTAAATATGCATGCTATAATAAAAACGATTAAAACGAAATAAACTTTACTCAAAAATTTGATTGCTTCATTTAATGTATACAGGGGTATCAAAAATGTATGGTCTATTTTGAATATTTATTTTACATAAAAACACTTCGTTATTTCAAATACAACACCTTATATTTTTTAAAATAAATCGAGGCAGATTCAAAAGCTCTTTCAAACTATATTAGGGTTTCCTATACCTATCTAGTTCAGATTTTGAATAAAGAGTAATTTAAATGAAATAGCAACCAAGAGGGCTAGTGTCGTCATTCGTCATGGCGAGTTTCTAATGACAGTTATTAGTAATAGTAGTTATTTTCAAAATCGATATTAGTTTGTGAACTTTATTTAAATTTATACCAGAGTTTACTTTTATTTAACTTACCTATAATAATATAATATATTTATTATTCGTTAGTAGTTAAAAAAAACGAAGAACTAGTTCTGATTTATTTTACAATGACTTGTAGATATATGGATTTTCTATAAAAGTCAATTACGGCAAATTAATTTTCTTCACTTGCGACAGGTTTCTGCCTAATAGGTTTTTTTTATAAACTACACTACCAGCTCTGCGAAATGGGACAAGTAGTTTTTCAAAGGAATGCTTATCATGAAGATTCCTATATATATTTGAGCATGAGCCCTTGAGGTCAAGAGACAATTTTTCTCACAAAATAAAAATCATTAGTAACATTCGCCGCTAGCAGGTACTACTTTATTTTCCTTGATAAAATAATGAATACCACTTACTTATTAAACTATTGTTGATTGTAGGTAATATTAAGTAAACTGTCATATAAATCTAAATAATAATGTCCATAAAATCATGTCAATTTTGTAAATAGTTACTGCCTTAATTAGCTCTTTACTAGAAAATCCAATATATCTAAAAGTCATCGTAATATAAATCAAAGAACTAGGTACTTCTTTATTTTTCTTGATAAAATAATAAGTACTTGCTTATTAAACTTTGAAGGTAAATTAAACAAAAGCAAACTGTTATAAATTTCAATAAAGTCCATACACTAATGTCGATTTTGAAAATAGCTACTGTTACTAGGAAATTGCCATGGCTACACCAGCCATCCTGATTGCAATTTTATTGAAAAATCGCTTTTTATTCAATATCTGAGCTAGATAGGTATAGGAAACCCTAATACAGTTTGAAAGAGCATTTGAACCTGCTTCGATTTATTTAAAAAAAATACAGGGTGTTGCATTTGAAATAACGAAGTATTTATATAAAATTAATCCTTAAAATAATCAGCAATTTCTGGTACTCCTGTATAAATTTAAGTAAGCAATATCATTTTTCAGTAAAGTTTATTTTTAACTCAGCATAAGAATTAATTCTGAAAAGTAATGTACAGGGTGTTAATAATCTATTCTATTATAGCATGGAGGGGCGTATACAGGAATTTTGGGGGGGGGGGGGCAAATCAAAAGTAATATAGAATTTGCTTTTTAGGGCGCCATTTTTAACCCAAAAGCCTAATATTTAGCTCAATTTACAATTTTTAGGGGGGCCGAAGACCCATGGGCCCCCTTCTGTATCCGCCGCTGATAGCATGTATATTTAAATATCTTTAAATATCTCAAAAACCAAAGATTTTAAACATATTTCACCCTTATAATGTATGCCTTTTTTTGGGCCTAAGAAAAATTAAATAAAATACTGGGTGTTCCATAAGGAAAAATATAACTTTGGTATGGATCTAGTTCTGAAACACCCTGTATATTTTATAATAATTTTAAATTGTGCACATTGCCTCCCCACATATACCCATAAACTATTTTGTTTCTATATCTTTTCATTTTCGTATAATCAACGGAGGCGAATGAGGTGCGCCACCCTGGATGTAAAATTATATGGGGAATGTCATCGATTATCATTTCCAAGCCAACTGGGTGAGGTTTTTTTTCGATCATACGGTATTTTAAATGTAATTATAACATCCAGAATTTATTAATAAAACATATAAACATTTTAATTTTCAAAAGTTTATACCTATTTATAAGTTCAACTTCCTTTACACTTTCAGAAATTTATTTCACACTAAATTAACAGATTATTGTAAAATTTGTATAATATTTCTGGCTCTCCTTAACTGTTCTTGAAGTTCACTATTATCTAGATCTTGGTCAGATTGCTCCTCTCGGTCAACAATTTTTAAAGCAGCTTCTAGAACTTCTTGTCTAGAATGCCCTTTTGCGCCATTAAAATAGTTAACAGTTGTTTCCCAAAAATCATTAGGAATTTTGCTCGTATCGAAAAGATTTTTTTGTAACCAAATTTGTTTTAGTTTCTCAAATTTCCATTCTGATCTATCATGTTTCCACAAAGATAAATAATTTAGAGCATTTTGTTGGAGTTGTAAATCAACTTTTAATTTTCTTTGCTCTAAAAGTTGGGCATGTTTTTCTCGTTTTCGGGCGCGTATGGATTCCTTTTTTTCAGTTGTTTTTTCTTGCTCTTCAGGCTCTGTTTTACTTGTCACTATATTATCTAATTCAGCAGATTTACGTTTTTCCTTGGAGTCTTTAATTTTTTCTTTATCCTTAAAATTTATATTTTCGCCGACTTTAACTTGAGCTACTTTTCGTTTTTTACCTTTTTGATTTTGAACTGGATCATTATTAATTTTAATAAACGAAGCATCTGTATTATTCTGCTCTATAACTTTTTGTTCGGAAAGTATTTCTTCCGCTTTATATTTTGTAATTATTTCTTCATCAAATGATACTTTTATTTTTTTTCTATATTCCCTACGTTTCTTTTCCATATTATGATAGACTCTGAAGAAAAATATATTTAAAGAACATGAAAATGATAAGGTTGCAAAGATGAGGTTGAACGAGGTAGATGAAAATTTCAATTTTTCTTTTTGAGGTTAAAAAGTTAAAAACAAACCATTCTAGGAATAGCTTCTACGTCCCACTAGTCAACTCGCATACCCAACCATGTTGCCGTTTGTTGTCGCTGTATTTTATGAACGGCGGAAAGTACGCCTAGCACAGAGAAATAGAAGGGATAGAGAATGAGCGTCAACATGCGCAGAAGGTCTAATCAAGTTGGGCGCCATATTCCAGGTCTTCGTGTCATTTTGTATATAGGTGGTAATCTATAAGTAATCAAATATCAATTTGCTGTTTTCAACCATACGGGGGGCAATTTAAATTTAGTGAAATTCTATCATTTATATGGTTAGTTAACATTAATATGATTTATTTAATTATCAGTTTCAAAACTGCGTACAATATTGGTATATAATACACTAAATATACGAATATTCTGACAAAAGACGCTACGGACAGATGACCTTTTCGTCGTAAAACACTCGAAATGATATTAAATAAGTATTTACAATATTTCATGTTTACTTGTACTGAATTACGCGTTTCAATTTAAAATTTTTGCAAATTTGGTAAAAATTGTTCTAAACAACTTTTTGTTCAAGTTGTATATTCATAAAAAACATTTGGTTCATAATTATTTTTGATGATTATCTACCTTGTATTTTTAATATAAACCTAGAAAAAATATGTTTTTGTTTTATTTTTTTTATTCGTCCCTTCAAATTATGTTTCAAAAACTGTTACATAACATGTCCTCTAACAAATATTTTCATAATACATAAACATCATTGATTTTATTAAGGGTATTATTATTAGTATTTATCCTGGTTTTTGTCGACAATAAAAACTCAATCTTGTAATAGAACATCAATTTTATATTTCGTAAAATTATTTTGATACAAATTCGATTTGTCAAAATTCAAGTCATTAATATATTGATAAACAACCCAAATTATTCCTAAATATTTTATTATAAACAAAAACTGTTACCGGTAAGTTTGTAAAACACATTATGGTTTGTCGTAATACTAGAAAAAATCATTTATTTTTTGCACAAAAGAAGCTTGTCGATCCTTATTTGTCCATAACAAAATTCTGTATGTACATATACCTAATTTATTATTAAGAAAATTAGATTATATGATCTCAGAATTTTAAGAAATTTTTTTTTAAGATAAAATAGTTTCTTCTCAACTGTAATATTGTCAACTTTGGCCTGTATTTTATCTATTTAAAAACATGGGATTGACAATCCCCTTACTAAAATACATACTGGAAGGTACCGATTAAGTTTCATTGCATCAAATACCTTTACTATAAATCCTGGCTCACAACTCACAATTTAAGGCCATTGCAAAATGCTTTTGAACTTCATCATAGATTTTACAAGAATAAAAGTGTAATATTGAAACAAAGTAACACTGTAAGCTTCATGACTAATAGTCTCATTTTTAACACTCTTTAAATATCATCTCGTTAACAATTATGAATATTATATGATTTTTCTCAGTGATTTGTGGCACAGATACAAATTAATATATGCCCCATAACAGTTTTTAAATAAGAAACTTCTGCCTACAGATTTAATTTTCTTATTGGCATAATACCCTTTCTTCCTATATAAATCTTGCCATTTTTTCAGTCCAATGTTTCTTGTTTTTACAGTTGTAGGAATACTAAAAATGTTGACTATAGAACTCGATCCTATGTTTGAAAAAGCCTTCATACCTGTAACTGTGCATAAATCTAATTAACTGAATTCTCCTCCTCTTGACACTCTGAACACTGTTGCTGCTAATGTTAGAAATATTTAGGACAAAACTACAACTACCTACAACAAACTTTACAATAAAAATGTTAAATCTTCGCTGTTCGATTAAAATATACCCTATCTTATGTTTTCTTTTCCTCCAAATAATCTTCTTGTCAAGTAAGGACCAATCTTATTTGACATATTTCTGGTACACTTGAACTTGTGCTTTCATGGACACTATAAGAGTGCACTGTTTTACAGCAGCACGAACATTGATTCCAAGTATCTTCTTCCTCCACACGTAATAAAAACATCCTCTTTAAATGGCCACATCATACACTAATTTTTGACCATTCCCATTACAATCACGATTTTTACAAATCGCCTTTAGGAAAACTAAAAATAAACAGTTTTGGATCATCTGTAAACACGATTATGTTGTATAAACTTACACATGAAAACTAATCATTTTTCCCGGCGTATTAGCTTTCTTAGAATGACTATGACAATATACAACAAGCCTTTTTGAATTAGTGTTTAGAATAATTGAGATAATAATAAATTTTAACTAGATAACAACAAAGAATATACCTAGCTAGGATAACAACACAAACGAAAAAAAAAAAAAAAAACAAAACAAACAGATGTCAATTAAAGAGGGGAACTGACAGCGAGACCTGGAAGATGTCTGCCATCTTGCCGTCGACAAAAATTTGGATGCGCACTCGTCGAAGCTCATTCTCCCACTTCCATATCTCTGGCCTAGCATCAAGGTTATTAAAAAATAAAAGGCCTAGAATTAGCGTTGGGTCTTATGACTCTTTTTAGTGAGCGCGCTCACTTCGTTCAGCTCACTAAAAGGAGTCGTTCACACTGAGTCGTTCAATTGAACGATGACGCTCCAACAAACGGCCGCCGTGCCGTGCTGTCGTAAATGGATTAAATAAAAGATGTACGTGTATGTTCAGTTTAATATAAAAATAATAACACATTGAAGTACCGTATGATCGAAAAAAATGGCATCCACTTGGCTTGGAAATGACGATCGATGACATTTCCAACATAATTTTACATATAAAATGACAGCGATCTTCATTTCATAGCCATCGTTGACGCCGGTTTTATTCGATCATATGGTATTTTTAAGTCATAATTTCAAGATAATTAATTAACGCAAAAATGTTACACAAATGGCTGCCGTGACGTCATCACTTACGCGGTCCATTTAAAAAGAACACCTGCATCAAAATGAGACGGCGGACCGGACGGCTCGGCTCCTCGGCTCTCGGCTCCCTGTTTACATGCTGCTTGGTACCGATTTTGTCTCTGAGGGTGCAGCCACACTATCCTAAAAACGGCGTATCGGCAAATCGGCGTAACGGCGTAACGACCTTGAATCGATTTCCAGTAATTCTATTGGCTGAAATATTTGACAGATGAATTTGACAGATAAAATTTCTGACAGATGAATTTTTTCAGCCAATAGAATTCCACTGGATAAGTTGATATTATAAGAAATGTTTTATTATGTGGTTCTTTTTGAATTGCATACACGACCGAAGAAACATATAAGCTGCTAAAATAAATCTTCCCTAGAACTATTGTACAAAAAATAGAAGTTCCAGCAACAAATTTATCCCACCAGTTCAACCTTTGATTTGATGTAAACAGTAATTGTTTCTTGATGAGAAATGCAGATAGGAAATAGTTTATGGTTTGATTGTGTTAGTATTTTATTAATAGTTTTGTTGATGCAGTTTAAAGGTTCCTAGTTTTTCATTAAAACATTTGTTTATTGACATGTTTACATGCAGTTTGAAATTAATGATACCATTTTAATAAACATTAAAATCTTTTCGAACTAGTAGTGGTTTTATGGCGATTGACAGATTGAATAACGAAAATTAAGAATATTTTATCAGGAATAACTTAATCATAAATGGAAACCTGAAAAACTCTCAAAACGATATTATATCGAAAAACTCTGAAAACACACTTTAAAAGACCAAAAATTCAAGAAAACAACTAATCAGATTTTGCTTATGTTTTAAGCTTGATTAGCACAGCTGATTAGCGTCCTAAAGATCATAAGTTGAGTCAATGGGAGAATAAATAAAATGCGCCGTTATTGTGTCAGATTTTCCAGATTTTTATCCGTTTTATCTTTTGAAATCGATCAACTTTAGTCTTCTGTTTCTTTGATATTATCCAGTTTACATTTACTTGAGAAAAAGGAGACCTAAACCAACCCAAACTAAGAAATTTACATTTCCGTTTTGCTGCCGCGACCACTTATATCCTTCTTATATTATTAATTTGTTTTTCAGAAGGAAATCTTGTTTATTTTTCAAAGAAATGTACTTGGCAACAGACAAAATGGAACTTGACGGGACCTTTAAATTTTTTAATATATCTGCGTCTCTCTCGCGAAATCCATTTCTTTGTTCACTGTACGTCGACTCACGCCTTTTTAGAGATACTCTTTGCCCTGACACTGACCGAACGCCGCGCCGCCATGCAAATGCATTCGGAACACGGCTGCGGCGACACGCGTCTCTGTCACTTTCAGCTCGCTCTTTTGTTTGTTATCTGTGGCTCGCTCTGCGGCGATTGAACGATGAACGCAGATTACAAAGTGCCGCTCATTCACGGCACAGGCAGGTGAGTCGTTCGTTTTGAACGACTCATTCACGAACGACCCAAGCCTACCTAGAATATAGCATAGCCAAATTGGTCGGGCTTAATAGTTGCCTGCTAGGGCTAGACACAAGACACAAGTAAATTGCAAGAGCAGCGGTGGACTGTGGATCCATTGACTTCTACACTCCATAATCCATTGGTAAGGCTGTGGGTAAGGCCGTCGGCTGTCGCTTCGGGAACGAGAGGTCCGAGAATCGTGTCCTAACCAAACTTTTTTATTTTGGTATACCTTTATTTTTTTTACAGCTGTTATTTTTTTTATTTATTTACAGTTGTTGGTAATAGCAATCAAAATACGCCGTAGGCGTGTTTTAATTGCGTTGGTTAGTCTCTGATGGGGTATTCTTTTTTTTCGCATAGATTGTATGCGAAATACTCGACCGATTATCGTTTATACATGTGCAGAACTACGAAATTAGGGGACAAAATTATAAAAATTGGTTAGCAGTTAGGGGCGAAATTAGAGGACAAAGCAAACAAATGGCAACATTGTTGGGTATGCGAGTTGACTAGTGGGACGTAGAAGCTAGACCATTGAAAGTTGTAGAGATGGCGAGAATTGAATCGATTCATCTGTAAATCGATTCTTTGTGTGAATGCATTGAAAGAAATGAATCGATACCGGACTTTCGAATCGATTCGGCGAATTCGATCATTTCAATCCGAGATATCTAATATACCCTAGTAGTATCTCTCAGTATTATACTACCGTATGATCGAATAAAAACGGCGTC